AATCAATAAAGATGGAAGGGAGAAATTGGAATGTTTTAACTGCAGCCTTCAGAACTTTAGTAACAGCACAACAAATTAAAAACAGCTCATGCACAGTAAAAAAAAAAAAAAAAAAAAAAAAAAAAGAAGACACAGGAGACAGACTAGGACAACAGAGACTCTCAGAGCAAAATTCATCTGGCAAATAAAAAAAAATTGTCTAATTTTCAGAAATTTGTACTCTCCCCAAATATTTGCTATCAGCAAATCACATAATTCTGTATTATATGTGACTGCCTCAGTAAGAAAGAGATACTTGTCAACAGAAAAAAAATCCAATCATGTTACTTGAAGTTGTTCATAACAAAATGTATCATGAAGGAAAATCTCTGGCTTAGAAACAGCCCTCCAACTCATTCACTTTCCAAAGTCCAATGTCTGGGAGCCATGCCTTACACCTCTCTCCCTTACTTCCCCTACCTTGGCTTTCACCAAATATATCAATTTTATCTTCCAAAAAGCCCTCAGATATGTCCACTTTTCCTCGTCTCCACTGCCAACTGTCTGGTGCAAGTTGCTCTATCAGTCCCTGCCTAGACCATGAGTACTCTTCACTGGTCCCTTCCACTTCCACTCTTGCCCCTTTTCTGACACAGCCAGAGGGACGTCTTCAAAACACGGATTAGAATGTGTCACCCCAGACTGAAAACCTTTCAAAGCCGTAACACATTGATGAGGTTGTGCACAGTCTGGTCTGGACCTTCTTCTCGGATGCACTCCTCACCCCCTCATTTTCTTTGTCTCATTCACGCTGACCTTCCTTCCATTTCCTGAAAACCCTGTGACTCTCTTGAGAGTATTTACACGTGTTGGCCCCCACTTCCTGTAATCCCTCTTACCTTATGCCCTTTTTGCCTTGATAGCTTGGATTCATCCTTTGGATCTCAAGGGAAAATCACCCCCTTAAAGAGAACTGTCCCTGACCTAGGTTCAGATATCCCTGTTAATAATCTTAGTGGCCCCTGTATCTTTCCCTGATGGTACTTACCACAATTGTAATGCCTCATACTCCTAACAGACAAGAAGCTCTAGAGGGTTGGGTTCACACCCCTTTGTGTTCATATGGTACCCTAAGAATTTGACACAGTAACAGACCACCTAGGAGGAGTTATTTGTGATACACTTCACATACGGTAACATTTACCCCTTTACAGTGTTACACACAGGAATGGAAGAGGTTTTCAATATAAATACTGGCTGTGTCTTAGGGTAACTCTATGTTTAACCTTTTGAGGATTTTCCAGATTGTTTTCCAAAGAAGTTTCCCATTTACATTCCCACCAATAATGTATAGGGTTTCCAATGTCAACAAATCCTCACTAATACTTGTTTTTGTCCATATTTAAATTACAGCCATCCCACGAGGCACGAAGCGGTATCTCATTGTGGCTATTCCCTAATGACTAACAATGTTGAGAATCTTTTCATGTGCTCATTGGCAATTTGCAAATCTTCTTTGGAAAAATGTCTATTCAATTTCTTTGACTAGTTTTAATTGGGTTATTTTTATTGTTGAGTTGTAAGAGTTCTTTATATACATTGGATACAGGTTCTTTATCAGATAAAAGATTTGCAAATATTTTCTCCCATTTTGTGGGCTGTCTTTTCACTTTCTTGATGGTGTCCTTTGAAGTACAAAAGTTTTTAATTTTAGTGTAGTCCAACTTACATAGTTTTCTTTTGTTGTTTATACTTTTGGTATCAATCTAAGAAACCACTGCCTACCACAAGGTTATAAAGATTTCAGTCTATGTTTTCCTCTAAGAGTTTTATATTGTTTTTATCTCTTACATTTAGGTCTTTGATCCATTTTGAATTAATTTTTATATATTGTGTGAGGATATCCAGTTGTCCCAAGACTACTGGCTGAAAAGACTATCAGAGTGTCTTGGTACCCTTGTTGAATATCAGTGTACCACAGATGTAACAGTTTATTTTTAGACCCTATTCCATTGATCTGTATGTATATCCTTATGCCAGTACCACACTGTTATTTATTATAGCTTTGTAGTAACTCTTGAAATTGAGAATGGGGAGTTTTCAAACTTTGCTTTTCTTTTTCAATACTATTTTGGCTATTATGGATTCCTTGCATTTCCATATTAATTTTAGGGTCAACTTGTCAATTTCTACAAAAGGGGCAGCTGAAATTTTCAGACTGCATTGAAACTAGAACAATTTGGGGTGTATTACCATCTTAACAATGTGAGTTTTCCAATTCAAAGACACAGATATCTTTCCACTTATTTAGGTCTTCAATTTTTCACAACAATATTTTGTAGTTTTGGTGTGCAAGTCTTGCACTTCTTTTGCTTATTTGTAAATACTTATTCCTGAGTATTTATTCTCTTTGATGCTACTGCCAATGTCATTGTTTTCTTAATTTCTCAGTTTTATTCTTAATTTCCACATTGTTCATTGGTAGCATATATAAATACAATTCATCTTTGTACTGATCTTGTATCTTTCAAACTTGCTGAATTCATTTATTAGTTCTAACAACTTCTTAGGGGATTCCTTAGATATTTTTACATAAAAGATGTCATCTACAAACAGAGAACGTTTTTCTTCTGCCTTTCCAATCTGGATGCTTTTCTTTTTCTTACCTAGCTGCCCTGCTTAGAACCTCCAGTGCAATGTTAAATAGAAACAGTAAGATAACACATTCTTGTCTTGTTCCTGATCTTAGAGGGCAAACTCTCAGTTTTTCACCATTAAGTATGATGTTAGCTGTGTAGTTTTTGTAGATTCTCTTTATCAGGGTGAGGAAGTTCCCTTCTATTCCTAGTTTGTTCAGTGTTTGTATGATAAAAGGGACTTAGAATTTGTCAAGTGCTTTTTCTGTGTCTATTAAGATGATCATGTGACTTCTGTTCTCTATTCTATTAATCTGGTGTCAACACAGATTTTCATATGTCAAAGCAATCTTGCATTCCTGACATATATCCCATTTGGTCTTGATGTTAATGCTTTTCATGTCACTAGATTTAATTTTCCAGCATTTTGTTGAGAATTTTTGTTTGTTAAGATGGAGTCTTGCTCTTGTCGCCCAGGCTGAAGCGCAATAGCGCCAATTTTGGCTCACTGAAACCTCTGCCTCCTGGATTCAAGCTATTCACCTGCCTTAGCCTCCAGAGTAGCTGGGATTACAGGCACTAGCCACCACACCCAGCTAATTTTTGTATTTTTAGTAGAGACACAGTTTCACCATGGTGGCCAGCCTGGTCTCGAACTCCTGACCTCAGGTGATGCACCCGCCTTAGCCTCCCAAAGTGCTGGGATTACAGGTGTGAGCCACACCTGGCCAAGAATTTTTACATCAGAACTATAGATCAAAGATACTGGTCTATAGTTTTCTTGTGTTCTTGTTGTCTTGTCCATTTTTATCAGGGTAATACACTCGCCTTACAGAATCAGTCAGGAAGTATTCTCTCCTCTTGTATTTTTTTGGAGAAGTTTGTAAAAGATTGGCATAAATTCTTTTCTATATTTTTGGTAAAATTCACAGTGAGGACATACGGGCCTGGGTTTTTTGTGTGTATGAAGGGGGAAATTTTTAAAATTATAATTCAATCACTTAACTTGTTATAGGTTCATATTTTCTCTGTCTTCTTGACTCCGTTTTGGTAGTTTTTGTTTTTTAGGAATTTATCCATTTCATTTAAGTCACCAAATATTTTAGCATATAATTACCTTTTTAAAATTTCTGTAGAGTTGGTAGTGGTATCCGCTCTTTCATTGCTGATTATTCTTTTATCCTGGTTAGTCTAGCTAAAGGTTCATAAATTTTGCTGATCTTTCAAAGGACCAACTTTTGCTTTTATTGATTTTCTATCGTTTTTATTCTTTCATTTATTTGCACTTTCATCTTTATTATTTTCTTCCTTCTGCTTGCTTAGGTTTAGTTTGCTCTTCTTTTTCTAGGTTCTTAACGTGAAAAGTTGGATTATCAATTTGAGATCTTTCTTTTTTTGAAAAAAATAAGCATTTATAGCTATAAATTTCTCTCTAAACACTGCTTTTTAAAGTTGCAGCCCATAAATTTTGGTATGTAGTGCTTTAGGTTAATTTATCTCAAGACATTTTCTGATTTCCCTTGTGATTTCTTCTTTGACTCTGATTATTTAGAAGTATATTATTTAATTTCCACATATTTGTGCATTTCCCAAATTAGGAGTATGTCATTTAATTTCTATATATTTGTGCATTTCCCAAATTTTCTTTTGTTACTTATTTCTAATTGTATTCTATAGTGGTCAGAGAACAAACTTTTGTATTATTTCATTCCTTTTTACATATATTGAAGCTAATTTTATGTCCCAATAATCTATCCTGAAGAGTGTTCCATATGCACTTGAATGTGTGTTCTGCTCTTTAAGTGGAGTATTCTACAGATGTCTGTTAGGTCTATGTGGCTTATAACGTGGGATCTGGAAATGAAGCCCAAGCTATTCTGGTGTTTTCAGGAGGGTGTTTACCTTTTTAAGGGCTCACCACACCATTTAATATCATCCTAATGTTAAGAGGTATGTACAGTAAGATGCTCACTTTGGATTTGCTCTTAAACACATCTATTCTGAAGAACTCCAAGGAGAGCAAAGTAGGAAATGAACGCAGCTGTCCTACGTTTCCTGATTAATTTCATATCTGTCTCATGGGCATGTTTTAAATACATGACTACATGTACTCTGCATATAAAAAATATATACAAGTGCACAGTGAAAATAAGTGATGCTATTTCATACTACTAATACTGAAATTTTGTCTGCGCAAGCACTTTCTGAAAGAAGTATCATATCACTTGGTACAGAATAAATATATTTTATGATTAAGAAACTTCTCTTACAAAATATACTCTGTGAAGTAGTATCCACTGCAGTTGATTTAAGGTAGGCCTTTGTGAGGAAAATCTAGAAATTAAGAGCACTACATCAATATGCAAAAATTATTTAACAAAATACCTTTTATTGTTCTTGCATGAGGTTTGTGGTTAATTCCATCAAAATGTTCAGAAGATAAGATGTGTGTACTTTCTTCAACACACCTAAAAAAGAAAACTGGATTTACAAACTTTTAAGAGAAAATTACAAAACAGTATTATTAGCATATCATTAACACCACATCTACATTTTTTTGAAAAAATAACACAGTATTTAGGATCTTACGCAAAAGTCATAAAGATATTTGCCTTATTGAACTGTGTAATATGAAAGTTTACCACTTTAGTAAAGTACTAAAATTTTTTTAACATATACATGAATATGACTTAAATACTATCTCTTGAATTATATAAAGTTACAAAACCAAAGAAATACTTAACTTTTGTTTCTATGATTATGTAATAAATCATTCAGAACCTTCACACATAGTCTCCATAAGCTTCTACTATGGAATCATGGCCATTTTTACTTGGACAACAGGAAAATTACATGACTTTCCAAATACATCAAAACTTTCTAACTGAATAAAACACAGAACTCCTGATTGTCGACTGAGGTTTTACCTTCTAAAATATGAACCCAAAATCCAAAAATAGTGCCAGAAATAATAAATCTCAGAAAGTAACTTTTTACTTTAATTTTCTTTTCCTACTCACTTTTTCATCTTTATCCTGAACAGCTTACCTTTGTATCATATGGCCTCTTGATGAAAGTAATAAAAGCATTTTACTTTTTAATATGCATGGTGAATCATTTTCAAACTTGTGAGGGACAGTAGTCATGACAGAAGGGTGCTTCCATCCCAAATTAATGACACTAACTATATGATCTAGTTAAATTAGAAAAAGTGAAGTATGGCAAAGGTGTTTTAGAAGCAGCTGTGGCTTAAGCAGTCACATGGTAACCACCATGGAGCCTGAATCTAAAAATATTCTTTCAAGCTGGTATGCCATGCCTTCTTCCAATTTTGATGACCATATCACAAAATATCCACACAAGTAGGGTATGTATAGTGATGCAAAGAGACTTCTGAACTATCCTAATAACCAATGTAAAGGTCATGGCAGGTAAATGTATTCTTTTCACAGTTTGTCTAGCTATATCTTCTTTCACATTTGTTCCTGAGGACTGAAGCTCCCTAGGTTCAGCTGGGCACTTCTCGAAAAGCAAGCTCCTGAAGCTCTCTGTCCTTGTGCAGGACAGGCTGGCTGCACAAAAACTTCAGGTTTTTCTAGGTGTTAGAGTACAATTACCTTGTGTGGGAGTGGGGAAGAAGATTCACCTGAGACTACAGGTGCAAGGGAGAGGAAAGACCATATTTAAAGTGATCATAGATTGAAGGAATCAAGGAACCCTGGGAAAGATAGAGATAAGGGTCGATGACAGTAATAATGAATAGGTGCTTATAAACAGAAAAGAGTACTATGTTTCAGCAAACGCTTACATTCCTATAGTCCTCCAGTCTATGTCCAGAAGAATGTGGCAATGACAAAACATCTTTTCCTCCACTCTCAGGATAAGCTTCCTACAGCCACAGATGGACAAAGAGGCAAATATACAGTAGAAAAAAAATGCGAACACTTCCAAACCCGACTGGAGCAGAAAACAATCTAGTCAGTATGAGGAGAGTCTCAGCAGGGGCTTGGTAGCATGAAGAACGGAGACACAATCTTGCAAAGGGGCAGAAAGCAACTTTATACGTTAGTATTGATATACCACCCCTTTGGAGAACCACTGCTTTAGATGAATCTTTATTTGTATTTTGGCCAAAAAAAACAAAAAAAACAAAAAAAACCCCACCTATAGTTAGAGAAACTCATCACCTTTTTACCTATGGTAAAAATAAAATATTTCTTAGTGTGTTCTTTAGAATTTTTATGTAAGCATTCTGTTGTCCCTAGGCCAATCTAAATTAGTAGAGTTAAAATTAAAGCTATCATATTCAATGTATCTTTTTATGAAAAATCAAAACTAAAATTTCATATTTTCTGGAATAGAAAACATCCAGAAGAGTCACTAAAAAATGTATCAAAATCTTAGAATACAGTAGTTCAAGCAAATACATTTTCATAACTTAAAAAATACGAAAAATAAATACATATAATGTTTCATTTATGATTCACACTTCTGTTACATTAAATAAATCAAACTTTTAATTGGGTAAGGGAAAATCACTCTCTTGGCACGTTGAAAAATGGAGATCATTATAATTTCAAATGAGAACATCTATTTAGGTTTACCAAAAAACATAAAGCAAAAAAATCCCTTGGCCAAATAAAATGTAGCCACAGTACCAACAGAGTTGTAATATCTAGCGCTTTTCTCACCATTTATTTAGCAAATACCTGTGGGACACACACTCAGTAGCTTGCTTAGTGAGATAGGGGCCCTGTCCTCAAAAAGCCAGTTGAAGAGCCTTGCTGGTGAATAAACTGTTTTCCAAAATAAGTAAAACGTAAGATAACATGTGATGTGTCAGAAGACTCTTTCAATAAAGTAATTTAAATCACTACAAATGTTTGCCTTAAAAAATGTGTTTAAAAATTTCCACAGACCATCTCATGCCTCCCATCTCCTTCTCAGCTTTAATACTGACCTTACTCTCAGGAGAAATGGACACACACAATACAGAAACCACATTTAGAGCAGCGTAAGTCTCTGTGTCCTACAAATTCCCATCTCCTCAAACTCTGCAACTGCTCCGAAAAGGGTGTTTGTGTTCAACTAGGAAACTCACTGCACAGATTATTTTTGGAAACACAAGAGCCAGCCTCTTTGATGCCTGACACTAAACCTGTTCTCCTTAACTCCTCAAACCTTCAGTACTATTCTCCTCTTCATGCTCTCTCTAGATTATTTCACCTTCATTTTCCAAAGGAAACAGAAGTTATCTGATGGAAAGTGACTCTCCTTCCCGGTATCACATACAACTTACCAAAGTGGCTCCAGTCCTTCCTACTCCAGACTTGACACACCAAAGTGGTGCCCCTCCTCCTTCCAAATGCCAGACTCTCTGCATATGCCTAATCCCGTTCTCTCCTGTTTTCCCAACAACATGAAAATATTATTCCTTCTCTCATTTATATATTCAACCTCTTCTTCTTATGCAGATCTTTTTGCACTGGTTTTTAAACAAACACCAGTCTCTTCCTTTAAAATAACGGCAAAACAAAGCCGCTTGGCCTCACATCTCCCTCCAGCTATAGCTCACGGGCCTATCTAGACACTTCCTGCTTCAAATAAACTTCTCTACAGAGTTGCCTAAATGTTCTGACTTCATGTCCTCATCTCCTATTCACTTCCCAAAGTGCTTGAGCCCCACTACGCCACTCCTCCAAGACTCTTCTGTACTGGATATGTTAGCAGTACAATCACCACTGTTTGTTATCTCCTTAACCTCCCCTTTTACTCTTATATCAACCAGAAGCCCATGGTCTTTCCCTCTGCCTATCTTGCTATCCTTGGCCATTGAATGCTGAAGAGCCTCAAGGTAAACATCATGTCTCACTTTACATTCTCTCCCTAGGATATCTCATCCATTTCAGAGACATAAATAAAAATATATTTTTTTGTTCTGTACTTTTAATCTCTAGTCCAGACCCCTTCTATGAGCTCCACACCTACATATCTATAGGTTCACATCTGTCTACACAGGCAGCATACAGAGTGGTAAGATGCATGGGCTCTGGAAGTGAAGTATGTAGATTCAAATCCCATTTCTTCCACTTACTGTCTGATATTGGACAAGTCTCTTAACATCTGTGTTTCCATGTCCCCAGCTTAAAAAATGCTATAATAACTGTAAATGCTCAACAATATTAGCTATTATCATTATTACTATTCGACCTTTCCTCTTGTGTGTCTCAAAGCCATCTGAAATTTTCTGCCTCTGAAATGCATGATGTTCCCAAAATGTGATCTGCTTCTGGGATTCCCTTGCTGTCTAAATGCTGTAATCAGAAATCTAGTAGTTATTTTTCACACAGTTCTCTTTCCTCTCCCATTTCTAATACAACATATCTGTTGAGATTTAAGAATTATATCTGTTATCTTTTCTATAACTGCACCACTCTAACTTTATCCCAAGCTGCATCCTTTCCAGTGTACCCCACTAAAATGGCCTGTAACCAATCAACACACTTCCATCCTTTACCACAAAGTACCATCCACGCTGCAGCCAAAAGGATCTTTACAGATTACAAATCTGGTCAACTTCATGCTTAAAACCTTTTATTTGTTTCTCCTTGGTCTTAGAATAAGCACTGATCTTTATTAAATATGACCTAAAAAACTCTATAAGGTCTGAACTCTGCCTCCCTTTCCAGTCTAATTTCATACCATATATTCCCTTGGTTCTCTCAGCCCATTCTCCACTTGGCTTGATTCCAATTCTTCCTGCTTGCTTTGCTCCTCCCTACCACAGGGTCTTTGCCCATGCCCTTTCTTTCCTCTGTTTGAAATGCTATTTCTTCCTCCTCTTCTCCTAGTTGACTCTTAATCATCCATCAGATGTCTGCTTAAATGTATCCTCCTTAGGGAAGCCTTCTCTGGCCTCCCAGATGAAGTCAAATACTTTTATTTTTGGTACTCATCATCTTACCCCTTTCTTTCAGGGCAGAGAAAGAATAAGGAAATTTAGGGAGGAAGGAGGAAAGAAGTATCTTAGTCAGTCTAGAAATTAAGACACTTAATCATTTAGTTGAAAAAGCAAACACAGGCACAAGGGGAAGAATTACTTACGTAACGATAGGCTATATGAAGAGAGTTAGGTGGGTAATCACAGGTTGTAAAAGGAAAGAAAAAACTAAACAGCAAATCTGCTGGAATCAGAACAAGGACTTCTCTTGTATCTCCAACCTCATGGTTTTTATTAAAATGAGTTAGGGAACAGAATGTTCCCACTGGAACTATATGTTCAGTATACAGGTGATGATTCATCCAGTCTTAGCATATTAAGCCATAGACAAATCCAATCCAAATGACTAAAATGACAAAAAAAATGTAATTTTAATAGGTTAATTTCAACAATGTCTTAAACACCTTTTAAACTGATATTCTGCATTATTGCTTCACATTTTATGTTTGCATATAAACTAAAAATCAA